CACCGCCCCCCTCTACCCCCACACCGCCCCCCTCTACCCCCACACCGCCCCCCTCTACCCCCACACCGCCCCCCTCTACCCCCACACCGCCCCCCTCTACTCCCACACCGCCCCCCTCTACCCCAACACCGCCCTCCTCTACCCCCACACCGCCCCCCTCTACCCCCACACCGCCCCCCTCTACCCCCACACCGCCCCCCTCTACCCCCACACCGCCCCCCTCTACCCCCACACCGCCCCCCTCTACCCCCACACCGCCCCCCTCTACCCCCACACCGCCCCCCTCTACCCCCACACCGCCCCCCTCTACTCCCACACCGCCCCCCTCTACCCCAACACCGCCCCCCTCTACCCCCACACCGCCCCCCTCTACCCCCACACCGCCCCCCTCTACCCCCACACCGCCCCCCTCTACCCCCACACCGCCCCCCTCTACCCCCACACCGCCCCCCTCTACCCCCACACCGCCCCCCTCTACCCTCACACCGCCCCCCTCTACCCCCACACCGCCCCCCTCTACCCCCACACCGCCCCCCGTGTAGCCTTGACAGACGGCACGGCTCACGAAGGCGGTGGGTGGCCAGCACCACGCCCGACCACCTTTGTCTCCCCAGTGGCGATGTTTACACACCGCACCAGGTACTCATTTCAGGCTGAGTCGACCTAGGGGAGGCCCAGGATCGGTTCAGATAATCGCCACTGGTAGTGTTCGCCGTGAGCGGGAATTGAACTCAGATCGCCAGGTTCAAAGCGCAGCGCGCTAACCGCTACACACACACAGTGACACACACACGCAGTGAAACTTATACACGCAGTGACACACGCAGTGACACACACAGTGAAACACAGTGAAACACAGTGACACACACACACAGTGACACACACACACACGCAGTGAAACACACACACGCAGTGACACACGCAGTGACACACACAGTGAAACACAGTGAAACACAGTGACACACACACACAGTGACACACACACACACGCAGTGAAACACACACACGCAGTGACACACGCAGTGACACACACACAGTGACACACGCACAGTGACACACACACAGTGACACACACACACAGTGACACACGCACAGTGACACACACACAGTGACACACACACAGTGACACACGCAGGCACAACAGCATCAGTAGCGGCCGTTGGCCACCAAGTGGCCGCCGTGCATCAGTGCGATCACCACCTGGGTTCGCTTCCCGACTCCTCTGCGTGTGGAGTGTGCTGCAAGTCGCCTCTCCTCCCCCCCCCCACCGCTGTTCTTCACGGGTTTACCTCCGGGGCTCTCCCGTTCCCACCAATAGCTGAAAACGAACTCGCGATGCAAAGCAACTTGTATTGCCCAACGCGTGCCCATCGTCAGGTGACAATGTCACATTACTCAACTGGGGTCACGCATGCCAGCAGCAATGTCGCCCGTGTCTGTGCGTACGCACGTGTCACTTCTTTCGCACCGTACGTAGCCAGCCGTGCCCATCGGAGGATGCGCCGGAGTATGCGCGCAGAGCGGCAGTGGAGTGGGTGGCGCGCTGTGCCGCGAACCCGACGATCTGAGTTCGATTCCTCGTCGTCACGGGTAGCAGCAGTGGCCCGATTACCCGAACTGCTCCCCCCCCCCCCCTCGGGTCGATTCAAGTCTCAAGTGAGTGTGCGGTGCGGCTTGTGTGAACGTCGGCACTGGGAAGACAAAGGCGGCCGCGCGTGGTGCTCAGTCACCCGCGCGCACTTCGCGTGCGCCGTGACACCGTCCACAGCGGTGCTGGCTGACGGCACTTGCCCCAACAGCCCGTGCAGGCTACACGGCCGAGGGAGGACCTTTGTCTTTGTCTTGCACACGCGCTACACGCGCGACCTGGACCGTGCATATCCTAGGTCGACTCAGCCTCAAATAATGATAATTACGTCGTGAACAAACACGAGCAGCGGGGGAGACAAAGGCGAGTGGGCGTCCGTGGCTCTGAGCACCCTCCCCGCCTCACCACCTCGTTAGTGCGGCGATGTCGGTGAAGAGTTCACTGAGCGACTGCCAGAGAGAGGAAATTCTTTGTAAACAAACAAAAATATATAAATCCCCATCAGCATTTTCTTGGTTCTTTCGGTAAAGTCACGTAGAAGGGAAATAATAAAATAATAAAAATAAAACATAATACATTTATTATTATTTTAAAATGATAAAAATGAAACATAATAAATGTATTATTATTGTATTATTTGCCTTCTACGTGACTTTACCGAAAGAACCAAGAAGATGAATCCCTGCAGTCACGAAAGCTTTTAATCGAAAAAAACCCCATCAGCATGTATGCGCTCTATGTGGAACTTCTTTCGCACCGTACGTATCCAATCGTGCTAATGGGAGGTGCTGGCTGAGGTGGGGGTGGGACAGCACGGAACACACCACAAGCATCGTCAACATCGTCGTCAGTGTCCGAAGCTCCGGTATCCGACACCGTCACCATTGTTGTTGTTAGTCTCACGCGCGTGTGTGTGTGTTGTTTGAAGCCTTGAGGGTCTGCGCTTTTACAGCGCTTATACACAGATCCACGCTGTGTGAGTAAGTGCGGAGGTGGGGGTGGTGATGGTGATTTGACCATATTTCACCACCACGCTGTGTGAGTAAGTGCGGAGGTGGGGGTGGTGATGGTGATTTGACCATATTTCACCACCACGCTGTGTGAGTAAGTGCGGAGGTGGGGGTGGTGATGGTGATTTGACCATATTTCACCACCACGCTGTGTGAGTAAGTGCGGAGGTGGGGGTGGTGATGGTGATTTGACCATATTTCACCACCACGCTGTGTGGGTAAGTGCGGAGGTGGGGGTGGTGATGGTGATTTGACCATATTTCACCACCACGCTGTGTGAGTAAGTGCGGAGGTGGGGGTGGTGATGGTGATTTGACCATATTTCACCACCACGCTGTGTGAGTAAGTGCGGAGGTGGGGGTGGTGATGGTGATTTGACCATATTTCACCACCACGCTGTGTGGGTAAGTGCGGGGGGGGGGGAGTGGTGATTTGACCATACTTCACCACCACGCTGATCACCTGCTGGGTAAAGGAGCGAGGGTTGGGAGCGCGCAGCAGATGAGATGAGAATCGCCACTGACGTTAGCCGTGCACGGGAATGGAACTCAGGTGTGCGGGGCTCGAGGGCCCAGTGCGCACTGTCTGCTCGTCCGGTCGCCGGGAAAGTGTCCCAAGGTTGATATGTGTTGCTGCTTCAACTTTCATCAGCGCGCCTTTCACAATCGCAGCCTCCCTCCATCCTATCCCCATCTACCCCCAGCCCCTCCAGCCCCCCTGTAGACAGAGCAAACACAAGCTGGTGGTTGTTTACTCAACGTTTGTTTGTGTCATGCCCGCCTGTGTTTGACCCAAACGTGATAGAACAACGCGGCCAGTCAACGGATTATAAAAGACGCTCTGGAACGTAGCCACCCCCCCCCCCCCGTTTCAACTAAGTTGATCATAATCGTCACGTCAGCTCGCTGCACCACGACTCAGAGACGTAGACACTCCACCGTGCAACGCACCACTGCTGGCTCTTTCCTTATCTCTTTGTTTCCCTCTCATCATAACCCTATCATCATCATCCCTCTCTCATCTCCATCATATTCTCACCATCATCACTATTAAGCCTATCATCATGATCATCATCCTCTCATCTTCAACATCTTCTCACCATCATCCCTCTCTCATCATCATTACCATCACCCTCTCATCATCATCATCATCACCAACCTCTCATAATCACCTTCTGGTCATCACCCTCTCATCATCGCCATCATCATCACCGTCCCATCATCATCATCATCACCCTTTCATCATCATCATCATCATAATCACCCTCTCATAATCACCATATCATCATCATCACACTCTCTTCTTCCCCCAATAATCATCTTCTCACTATCATCCCTCTCTCAATATCCTCACCTTCTCAATATTATCGTCACCGTCTCGTCATCATCATCACCCTTTCATCATTATCATCATCACCCTCTCATCATCACCATATCATCATCATCTCACCATCATCCCTCTCTCATCATCACCTTCTCAATATTATCGTCACCATCACCGTCTCATCATCATCACCATCACCCTGTCATCATCACCATCACCCTATGATCATCACCATCATAATCACCCTCCTCCTCCTCGTTCTCCGTCTTGGTGGGAACTTCCGCCCCGGGCCTCCCTTCGCCTCTCCCGTTCCTTTCTCTCTCTCCGCGTTCATCGACAAACATCATTCACTCTGCTCGCCCCCCCTCCTCGTGGTGGCAGTCACGGCTGCAAAGGATTTGAATTGCAAATCAAACCAACCAGATCAATCAGATCAATTAAATCAATCAGATAAATCAGATCAATTAAATCAATCAGATCAATCAGATCAATTAAATCAATCAGATCAATTAAATTAATCATATCTATAAGATCAATTAAATCAATCAAATCAATCAGATCAATGAGATCAATCAGATCGATCAGACCGCACCGACTCTTGTCGCTGTACCCGCGTGGCGCATGAGTCATCAGACACACACGACACGTCATTTTGCGGTGACTCAAGGGTCAAATAAAAACTCCAACTTTATTATTTCTGTTTAGTTGTTTCTCGGGGTTGATTAATAACACTGAACTTCTAGGGAGACCGGTAAATTAGTAGCAGCGGTTGGAGTCGGTGTACGCACGCACGTATGCGTGTCGGCGGCGTGTGCGCGTGTGCACCTAGCCTGGCACGAGCGTCGTGATCACGTTGTTATTGTTGGGTGCGTGTGTGATTGAATGTGTGTCGCGAGCGGGGGGGGGGTACAAGCCAGGCCGACCCGAGTTCGATTCCCACTTACGGAAACAACACCGCTCCTGCCCCTCCCTCCCTGCCTGTCTGTGTGAATGTTCCTCCATCTGTGTATCGATCCCTATATCCGTTTGTCCGTCCACCAGTCTGTCTATGTGTCTGTCCATCTGTCTGGTCATTCGTCTGTCTGTCCGTCCATCCATCAATCCGTCCGTCCATCTATCCATCTGTTTGTCCATCCAACTGCCCATCTATTCATCCGTCTATAGATCCATCTATCGTCCACGAGTCTCTCCATCCAAATATCCAACTATCCCATCCATCCGCCTATACATGCATCTATCCATCCATAAGTATGTCCATACAACTGTCCATCTATCCATGCATCTGTCTGACTGTCGATGCGTCTCCCCGTCCGTCTGTGCTCCAGCAGACAAGTCCCATAACACTGAACGGTGACACTGCGAGTGTGACACTGTAAGTCAACACCGCCACCACCACCAACAAAGACACAACACAAAGATCCCCCATAGAACATGAACACATTGTTGGTGCGAGTGCTGTTAATGCGCAGCACTGATGAAGGCCGGCTTGGCAACACGAGCGCGTGCGTGGCCACCACCACGCCGTTGTCTGCCTCGTGGCGGTGCTTCCACTCCGCAACAGGTACGCACTCGTTTTATGCTGAGTCGACGTAGGGGAGGCCCAGGACCCGGTTCACCACCAGGTTCGGGCGGACGCGCGTGACGACTGGGCGATGCGCCGCCGATGGCACAGCGGACCGCACGACGTGCAAAACGACGCACACATTACGAAGGAGACGTCAACAGCGATCGACGCTCCGGTTATCTGGGGCTTGGCCACCTGAAATGTGAAATTGTAGTCGCCGTTGTTCTGCATCTACAGCAGCCGCACGAAAGAAAGGAAGAGGAGGAGAGGAAGACTCCCGATGGCACCGTTCCGACTCCCATTGGTTCGCGAACCCGTGGAGCAATCTCGCTTGCTCTGTGTGTGGGGGGGGGGGGCTCTGGAGTAGCCGTGGAGGACCTCGCCAGGGCTACAGAGCGGGCCACATCGTCACGAGCCATGGTCTATCCACAGCTAGCCACATCGTCGTCGTCATCGTCGTCGTCGCCGCCACGTGCCCGACACGAGATGCACGGTGTCTGTCTGTCGAAATTGTCGTCGCCTGTGGCGCCATGGTGACACGAGGAGGAGGAGGAGAAGGGGGAGATTTCGCGGTGGTTGTATCCGAGGCGGATGGGGGGGGGGGGTTGGTGGAGGCCTCAACGAGTCCCGCGACTCGCCTACAGGGAGGGTCCTGCCGAGGTCTGACGATCGGTTGGCTGGATTCTTAATTTGCGGTGAACATTTGGCAAATCACACTGCGGGTTGGCTCTTCGGCCTACACGATGACTACTAGAAACCCCCCTCGCCCCAGCCCTTCCCGTGCCCCCCCCTTAGGGTCACTCAATCAGAACCTCATTAATTATCTGAGTGAGTGACAGCCAATCGCTACAAAAACCGACGAGCGAACAGAAAGTGAAAAGGGGGGCAGAGCTGTCTAAGGGGGGTTAGGGGTATAGCGTGTGCCTGTTTGGTTAATCTGGTTAGTGTGGTCAAGGTTAGCGGTAGGGTTGGTGATTGGTTGGTTAGTGTGGTTAGTGTGTTAAGGGTTAGCGGGTAGGACTATTGCCTGATTGGTCAGTGTGGTTAGGGTTAGGCTATTGTCTGATTGGTCATTGTGGTTAGGGGTTGGGCTATTGTCTGATTGGTCATTGTAGTTACGGTTAGGGTAGGGATAGTGTCTGATTGGTCATTGTGGTTAGGGGTAGGGATAGTGTCTGATTGGCTAGCGTGTGGAGGGGCTTGGATTTGATTGGCTAGTTCGTTCCGCCTTCTCCACAAACTTTCCCCTCCCGCGTTGGCGAGTGCGGCCTCTTCCGTTCTCAGTCGCTTCGCGCTCGTGGTGGCACTGCAGCGTCACGACGTCGTCACAACACCACCGCGTCACAGCGTCACGTCACAAAGCCACAGCGCCGCCACGACATCGGAGCGAGGAGGAGGAGGATGATGATGGCCGAGGAGGTGGAGGAGGAGGTGGAGCCGAGGCCCACTTCTCAGGCTTTGTGGTACGTGCGAGTGGCCACCACGTCCCCGATGGAGCACGTCTACGGGGAGAGGGCGAGACACGCAACTCGCTCGCACCGCTCACCCTCACACCCTCTCTCACACCTCACTCACCTCACTCTCCCACACTCTCATCACTCTCTCTCTTATCCTTCTCTGTCTCGTGAAAAATCATTTCTTAAGAAGTGCTTTTTGTGTTCAGTTTGTTGTTCTTCGCCCGCACCTCCGATTAGCGTGGTTGGCTACGTACGGTGCGAAAGGAGTTCAACATACATACATACTAATTTCTCCCATTACTCTCTCATCTCTCTCTCCCATCTCTCCCATCTCTATCCCATCCCTCTCTCTCTCATCCGAGAAGGCATTCGATAGAGTGAGCCATGAGTACCTGGGCAAATTGATAAGGTCGTTCGGCTTCAGCCAGGCATTCATCTCTCACGTCAGGCTCCTGTACATGGACACATCCAGTCTCATGAAACTCAACCAGCCGCTCAGCCCCCATGACGAGGGGAGTCAGACAGGGATGCCCTCTGTCGGGGCTGCTGTAAACCCTGTCTATTGAGCCACTCCTACGCCACCTGAGACGACATCTGTCTGGTTTGCAAGGCTCCAGGACCTGAAACTGCAGTCGTCAGGGTCTCTGCATACGTGGACGAGAGATGCGTCCTAGTCAACGGCGCGCAGGACGTCTGCGCACTCTGCCGGGTGGTGGCGCTGTACGAGAAGGCCTCCTCCGCCAGGGAGAACTGGGCCAAGTGCGAGGTTCTCTGTTTGGGGTCGCGGTGCGGCGTTCCTTCTGTGCTGATCCCAGGAGGAGTCAGTTGGTAGGCTGACGGTACCAAGTACCCGGGAGTCTACCTGGGGAAACCCACACGACGTCGCTCTGAACAACTGGACCGAGCTGGCCGACGTAGTCGAGGCTAGACTGCACGCCTCGCTCCGCAGACGTCCTTTAGGGGCCGAGTGCTCGTCGCTAATAACCTGGCAGCGTTCGCGCTGTGGCACAAGACCAAAGCCTCCCAGCCTCCGGGCCTGGCTACTCACAAGAGTGAACCGCTCACTCGCGCACTTTGTGTGGCACGGCAAGCACTGGCTAAGCCCGGGGGTTCTCTGCCTGCTGGTGGGTGAGGGTGACCAGGGTCTGGTGGACGTTGCCTCCAGGCTGATGAGTTTCTGGCTTCGGGCCGTGAGGCGGCTGCTGTAAGAACGGGAGGAGATACCCTGGAAGTCGCCGGCCCTCAGCCTGCTGAGAGACGCAGGGGGGTGCCTGGGGTGCCAATGCTGGTGACGCGCTTGTGTTCTTCGAACGGTGGGGGGCGGTCAAGCCCTCCTCTGCACCGGCGCAAACGGCATTCTGCATTTGACTTTCTAACGAGATCATCGTCGAGCGTGGCGTGTTTGTGTTGCGCGTGGTGCATGCAGCGCCACGTAGTGTTTTGTGACGTGATGCTGTATTCGATGTGACTCGGATCGAAATCGGCAATAAAATTGGTTTAAAAGTCAAAAGTCTCATCCCTCTCTCCCATCTCTCTCTCATCTCTCTCGATCTCTCTCTCTCTCTCGTGCCCTCACCGCCACCATGCTGTCGCCCGAGACGGCGCGGGAGATGGTGGTCTCCTTGCCCTCCCATCGCTGCACCTGCACCAGCTTGTCGCCGTCCACGGTGAACGTGCTCTGCGGGAGACACCACCACGTCAACCACCACGTCAACCACCACGTCAGCCACCACAAACACAGTCACCACAGCGTCACAACTACAACCAACAGCCCATCTCCCGTCTACAGCTCAGAGCCAGGCGTAGAAATTCCTCGTTCCTTTGACGGTGGGAGGGGTGGGGAGGGGGTGGGGAGGGGGGTGGGGAGGGGGTGGGGAGGGGGGGTGGGGAGGGGGGTGGGGAGGGGGTGGGGAGGGGGGTGGGGAGGGGGTGGGGAGGGGGGTGGGGAGGGGGTGGAGAGGGGTGGGGAGGGATGGGGAAGGGGGGAGGGGTGGGGTGGGGAGGGGGGAGGGGTGGGGAGGGGGGGGAAGGGGGAGAGGGGAGGGGCGGGGAGGGATGGGGATGGGAGGGGTGGGGAGGGTTGGGGAGGGTCGGGAGGTCGATCCATCGGACAACCATTGCTGACGTCCCACAAAATGGTACTGTTCTTATCTGCCCCGGCAGGGAATGATGATGATGGTTTTACCGAGTCAAACCGGCAACCAGGATTTGACCTCGTGACCTTTCCGTTCGCGAGCCGCTCGCTCTACCACCGCTTCATTGCCTGTGACCTCTGACCCCCTCCACCTCCGGCCCTCCCCCCACCCGGGGTCTCACCTTGACCTTCCTCTCGTCCGCCGTCGTTTCGTCAAACTCCTCGCCCAGCGTGAAGTTCCACTCCATGTTCTTGAAGGTGCTCGTCGTCTTCAGCGTCACGTGATCGCCCTCGGCGCTGATGATGAGTGTGGGCTTGGTGACGCTGCCGATCTGGCGCATCGCGAAGCCGATGCCTGCACGCAATCAAGTCGTTCCTCGTTTAACGTGGTAGATGCGTTCCTCGTTTAACGTGGTAGATGCGTTCCTCGTTTAACGTGGTAGATGCGTTCCTCGTTTAACGTGGTAGATGCGTTCCTCGAACAGCGCCACGTTAAGCGGAAAACTTTCCCCGTAAATAACGCGGTAACGATCAAGTTTGGCGCGATACGTTAATATTTTAATAAATCTATCAGCTTTTTTAGTATATATATTTGCTTCTTCTTCCTCCTCATCGTATGCTAACGAAAGCAGCTGTAATCTTACTTTAAACACATCGCAAATTAATTTGAAAAGATAATTCACGCACCCTATTTCTGATAATGGAAGTCAATTTTAACATTTGTTAACAATAATGAATTAATCCTCCGTGAAATGTTCAAATATCCTCCGGTTTTTGCCTCCACGTTTAGAAACATGCATTGCGAGTTATTTGGCTGCTATCACATTTCGTTGCGCTCCTGTTTGTGGACAGGTCTCTTATGAAAATAAGAGTGACATAGCTCAGAGGGCCTTAGTCACGCGTAATATATAACACTGGTCAACAAAAAATAAACATTTTTTTTCCGGCCTGGACTTTTGCAGCTGTTTTAGACTAATTTCAGGGTGCTGATTCCAAATCTGATCTCAGATTTGCTCTATCACATCTCATTTTTATGCTATCGGCATACCCCATTTTCATTGATTTTACCCGAAATTAACTCTGTCACTTATGATTGCAAGTTGTTGCGAGTCAGTGACTGCTTTAGTGTTAAAATATGATGCTGTATTTTTAGGATAGTGTGTTTATAATATCATTTTATGTAGATATCCACATTTATTTAATATTTTTCTTCTGCAGTTTTTATTGAAAATGCAATATTTGATATCTCAAAAACCTGGTGTGATAGACAAAAACTGATGCCAGATTTGGAATCAGCACCCCAAAACATTACCTTAAAACCGTTGGAATACCTTATGCCAGAAAAAGTGTGTTGACCAGTGTTATCAGAGTTTGGAACAAAGAGAGGATCGAGAGGAAATTCCGAAGGCTTTACAGTCTCGCTCGCAGAATGTAGCATTCAGGGTGAGCACACGAAGACAAGTCATCCCAGCCACCTCCAGTACTGCAGGTATGTGTTTCAACTATTTCGCAACCGTACGTAGCCAACAGCGTTAATCGGAGGTGCGGGGAATATCAGGTGGCGCCCCTTCTGAACTAGTTCCAGCGAAGGTTAAACCACGTGTTCACGCATTAGCTCTGCCCGGAGCTAATGTGTCCATCGGCCAACACGATCTGGTCACGACGACTCTCGCAAGGTTCATCCAAGACGAGCGGAACTTTCGTATCAAGTTGCGTCGCTACCGTCTTCGCGACTGATAGTCACGAGTAATATATAATAAGCCCTGTGTGCCCTGACTCCTGGGCCACACTGTGACACTGCACGTGTTCCGCTGGGGCGAGGCGTGCGCTCACCCACCGTGAGTCGCGTCCTCATTTTCAGCACCACGGAGCTGTTCGCATCAGATGACTCACGCTCTGAGTCTCACGCTCTCTGCACGCTCTGAGTCTCACGCTCTTTGCACGGCTTAACAGTCTCACGCTCTGAGTCTCACGCTCTCTGCACGGTCTCAGTCTCACGCCCTCACAGTATCACGCTCTCTGCACGGTCTCACAGTCTCACGCTCCCACGGTCTCACAGTCTCACGCGCTCACCTATGGCCTTCATGTATTCATCAAAATTGTGGCTCTCCACCAAGTTCCAGGTCCCGCAAAAGATGTCCATGATGCCGTCCCCGCTGTCTCTCTTTGTCTCTCTCTGGGGTCTCTGTCTCTTCGTGGGCGTCTCTCTGTGTGCGTCGCTGCGTCTGTGATGGTGCTGACGGAATGCTGCTGCTGCTTCTTATTCGCCGGCTGCAGACTCTCCGCTCTCGCTGAACGCTGACGCGTCGGGTGGCGTGAGACGCAGAGGGGGGGGGGGGCGCAGGAGAGGGAGGGAGACTGGAAGAGACCATGGGGGAGGGAGACAGCGGGGGGCATGGAGACTGGGAATGGATGAGGAGGAGAGGGTGGGATTGAGGGAGGAGGGGAGATGTGGGGTGAACGGGAGCCATTGGGTACCGAGCTGCGCTTATCTGGGTCACCCGACGTGCACGTGACTCTGGATTTGGCTGAGAACGCGTGGCCGATAGTAACCCCTCTGCGGGGACGGGAGGGGGGAACAGCACCCCCCGCCCCACAGCCTTCCATCCTTGCTCCCCCATAATCCATAATTCTCCCCCGCCTCGCTCCCGCGTTTGCACAAAAAAAAAAACTGACGATGCAATCAATGGTCGCACTGCGACAAAGCCGCCGCTGAGATTGAGCGCCCGAGGAAGAAAGGGCGCAGCTGTTGCGGAATCTGGCAGCAGGAAGGAAGCGAGGGGCGCGAGGTGCACGCGGGCCCCAGACGCACTGGCGGCGAGGAGGTCATTAGAGCGAAATGGATCGCACGCAGAAACGTGGCGCGCGCGGTTCGGGAGGGAATGGAAGTCCGGATGCAAAGTGTGCGCAATTTTTACTCTTATAGGCCGAGTCGACCTAGAAGAGGTCCAGACCGTGGCGATCTTTTAGCACTGTGAGATGCAGCCTCCGCAGCGCTGGATCACAGGCAACGGGCACGGCGCGTGAGCCACCGCCGCGACCTGCCCAAGCGTTCGGTGCATTTCAGTAGGCAACAGTTCACGTGAACAGACGATACAGGGTCGCGTGGATAGATTCAGACGCCTCATACTGGTAGGAACCTCCTGGTTACACCAGCCCACAGGGGATTATTATGTCCGTCGTGCAGGGAGGGGCTGGGTGGGGAGGGAGGGGCTGGGTGGGGAGGGGAGGGTGGGGAGGGGAGGGGCTGGGTGGGGAGGGGAGGGTGGGGAGGGCTGGGTGAGTGGGGAGGGTGGGGCTGGGTGGGGGGTGGGAGGGGTGGGGAGGGGCTGGGTGGGGAGGGTGGGGCTGGGTGGGGAGGGGAGGGTGGGGAGGGGCTGGGTGGGGAAGGGCTGGGTGGGGAGGGGAGGGTGGGGAGGGGCTGGGTGGGGAGGGTGGTGCTGGGTGGGGGGTGAGAGGGGTGGGGCTGGGTGGGTAGGGGAGGGTGGGGAGGGGCTGGGTGGGAAAGGGCTGGGTGGGGAGGGTGGGGAGGGGCTGGGTGGGGAGGGTGGGGCTGGGTGGGGGGTGGGAGGGGTGGGGCTGGGTGGGGAGGGGCTGGTCACCCCGTGGTGCCCTTATTAAACTGAACGTTTAACCTACTCACGCCGGCTTGTGCCCGCCCTCACAGTCGGGCATATTTGCGGAATACATCCACGCCGCCGTTGACCCTGGCCATTGACCGAGCAGCCCAACGTTCCTACCAGCTCCCTCCGCAGGAATGTGTTTAATAACTGGTCACGAGCAACTCCGATGAGCATGGTTGGCTACCTACGTACGGTGCGAAAGAAGTTTGACATATATTGTACACGTACATATGAAAATACATTTCTATAAATGTCTTTATTTTTTTACATCAGGCCCCATGGCGATAACGAGTGGAGTCTCCAACTCATACTCTTTGGTTCTTTCGGTAAAGTCACGTAGGTATAAAATAAAAATAAATCACGACGTAGCGGGCGCAACACAAGCGTCCGAAACGTGATTTATTTTATTTTTATTTTCTACCTACGTGACTTTACCGAAAGAATCAAAGAGTATAGATTCCTGCAGTCACGAAAACTTCAAATCAAGATTCTCCAACTCTTGTTATCCACTCTATCCCTCCGGCTTTGTATGTACTCCGAACAAGAGACATTGCCCGAAACGTTGCCGATTAAATATATCGTTATTATTCTTTCAATGCCGCGGTGTTGTAGACGGATGCGTTGAGCTCTTCTGTGTCGCCGATCCTTTATGCGCGAATAGCTTCGGACAGATCATCGTTCATCCATCCGTCCGTGGCCGACGTTCCCCAGCGCCCCCACCGCCACCCATCTCTCTGGAGCGGCACACCACGCGGACGTGCACACAACAGCGCCCGCCGGCCTTTGCGCATTACGCAACAACAAACACCCCCCACCACCACCACCCCATCGACAGTTCCTGAAGAAGCGCATTGACGGTCCTCTCGGCTCGTGCACTGTGGTCTTCGTGAGCGAGTATCGGGCGCTTGTACTCGACTGATGAGTCCCAATGCCGGCGGCATTTTGATGAAATCTAACGGCGTGTTGTGTGAAGCACGCCTTGACTTGGGGTGCCACCGTAGCGAGATGTTAACCACCTCGCCTGGCATGCAGGAGGTCGTGGATTCGATCCCGACGCTGACGCCTGCTGCTGTATATTTGAAGTTTGCGTGTCTCTCTCCACGTGGTGAGATGTTAACTACCTCGCCTGGCATGCAGGAGGTCGTGGATTCGATCCCGACGCTGACGCCTGCTGCTGTATATTTGGAGTTTGCGTGTCTCTCTCCACGTGGTGAGATGTTAACTGCCTCGCCTGGCATGCAGGAGGTCGTGGATTCGATCCCGACGCTGACGCCTGCTGCATATTTGGAGTTTGCGTGTCTCTCTCTTTCTCCCCGTGGTCGCGTGGATTCTTCTCCGGGTCCTCCGGTTTTTCCCTCGAAATTTTGAATCAACATCACGCGTTTAAAGTATTTGGCTGCTATAGTTTTGCACGTTGAACTCTCATTTGTGGCTGAAAAAGAGCTGAATAGCTCAATGGGGCCTACCTGATAAAATAAAAAATATATGAGATATTAAATCGAATAGAAATCGCTTTCTGGATCGTCATCGTCAGCCCGGGCCATCCAATCGCCGCTTACAAAGAAACGAATCCTGGAAAGGAACAAAAAACGTAGAAAAAAATGTCTCAAAGACTGCTTGCGAAGTTGATTCCAACTCCCCTCCCCCTCTCTCGCATTCTCTTTCTCCCCTCCCTCTCTCTCATTCTCTTTCACCCCTCTCGTCCCCTCCCCCACGTCTCCCCTCTCTATTCACCCACTCTCACTCGCTCCTTTCTCTTTCACCCACTGCCCCCCACCACCCACCCCCTCTTGCTCTCTCTCTCCTCTCTCTCTCTTCCCAGCGATCTGTGCACAATAGCGCATTCAGTGAGCAGTCAGGGCCGCCTCTGTCTCCCCGGCGCGTAGGCGAAGTGGTGGGAACGAGCGTCTCCTTCGTGTCTGACGATTGCGTGGTCATAACGCGTGCAGCATCGCGATGCACGTTTCTTACAGTGACACGCACAAGTAGCCGAGACACGAGTTCCATTCCCGGTCACGGCTGTCATCAGTGGCGGGTGCTGATATCTGAACTCACCCCTCCACCTCCCCACCACCACCCTTAATTGACCAGAATGGTTAAGTATGGTCAAGCAACCGCTATGACCGACGCCTCGTGGAGAGGTCTGTTTAAAATGAAAATTTTTTTTGCCTCGAGTTTGCTTGCTGGCTGCCTGCTGGCTGGGCTCCTGTCTACCCCAACAGCAACAGCAACGCTGTTGTTAGTGGCTGCAGCGGGGCTGTTGTTGCCAAATAAGCTAGCTGGGTAACTGGCTACAAGGGAGATTCCGTGTAACAAATAAATACTGAGTTGAGTTGAAACGGCGGAAAAATACGTTATAATAATCTAATAATACGATAATACTGCAATGATAATAGTGATACCGAAGACGTGAGAGTAATTAATGTAGAACGCTGACCAAGAATAGTTTAAAATCGCTATAACTTCCCAATGCCTGCTCCGATTAACGTCATTCGGTAGCCATTTAACAGCCTAAACAAAACTATTTATTTTAACCTCACGATAAATACTGTCTTGGAATTGTATTAAGATATTTTACAAACATATCAGACTCCTTTAAGCGCTCCGAGCACATGTGAGTGGCGAGAAGAGGATTGACGTCACAGCTGTCTCTTACAATTGCAGAAAGAACCACGAGGAGTTCTCTACTTGTACATACAACGATATTAATACAATAATACAACAACAATACAACAACAATACTAACACAACAATACTACAACAACAATACAACAACAATACTAACACAACAATAATACAACAACAATACTACAACAACAAAACTAATACAACAACAATACTAATACAACCATCATACAACAACAATACTACAACAACAATAGTAATACATCAATAATACAACAACAATACTAATACAACAATACTACAACAACAATACTAATACAACAATCATACAACAACAATACTAATACAACAATCATACAACAACAATACTAATACAACAATCATACAACAACAATACTAATACAACGATAATATCGTACAACAACAATACTAATACAACAATCATACAACAACAATACTAATACAACAATACTACAACATCAATACTAATACAACAATACTACAACAACAATACTAATACTACAACAACAATACTAATACAACAATCATACAACAACAATACTAATACAACAATCATACAACAACAATACTAATACAACGATAATATCATACAACAACAATACTAATACAACAATCATACAACAACAATACTAATACAACAATACTACAACATCAATACTAATACAACAATACTACAACAACAATACTAATACTACAACAACAATACTAATACAACAATCATACAACAATACTAATACAACAATCATACAACAACAATACTAATACAACAATCATACAACAACAATACTAATACAACGATAATATAATACAACAACAATACTAATACAACAACCATACAACAACAATACTAATACAACAATACTACAACATCAATACTAATACAACAATACTTCAACAACAATACTAATACAACAATACTAATACAACAATACTACAACAACAATACTAATTGTAAACTGAACAAGTGCTCTGTGAGAGAGGACGAGCGGGGAGCGGTGGCGCAGTGGTTAGCCCACTCGCGCTACACCCCGGCGACCCAAGT